TTGGGGCCATCCTCTTAAGTGAAATAAATAGGACACACATGTGTAAATACCAAATAGTTTCTTTAGTGTGAGAAACTGAAAGTGTAAATAAGGACTCAAAGGTATAATAGATAATGTGAAATAGGAAGAAAAGGGGCAAAGGGGAAGGGGAAGTGGGAGGGGTAGGGGAAAGCAAAGAAGGCAATGGAATTAATATGAGAAAATGAAAAAAAGGAAAGAAAGTCTTTGTAAATAAGGAGGGATGGAGGGGTTGAAGGGAGGGCAGGGGAATGGGGAAAAATAAGAACCAATAGAGATTATGTAAAGGTGCAAATCTGCAAGGATGAATGTCATTATATTGTATACCTAAAATGTACCAACGAAATTAATTTAAAAAACATTTAATTTTCATTGTCATTTTGACTTAGGGGAGAAGCAGAAGTTGCACAGTGCCATAGCTGGTGGATGAGGACAACGTAATATTTGTACGAGCTGCCTTTCTCTTGGATGAGTGACTTGGGGAGATCCCGTCTGGTCCCTGGCCCCTTTCCTTCTGGCTCTTGCCCTGTTCTCTGCTTCCAGGATGTCATGAGATGAAGAGCTTTCCTTTGTCACAACCCTCTGCCATGATGTTTCTGCCTGGGAGCTGGCCAGCCATGGACGCGAACCTCTGAAATCATGAGCTAAAACAAACTTCTCCTCATTTAGGTTGCAGGTGTTAGATATTTTGTCCCAGCAATGGAAAACTGACTAATATACACCAATTACAGAAGAGCTGACATATAGAATGCATCAACTCAGTCAGTATCCTGGGGGAATTTTATTTAAAAACTACTTACTGATTATGTGATACTTGACAGCTCCGTTCCTGCCAGCGTCCATATCAGAGGCCAAAACAGTGTAGACCACCTTGGGTTCTTGGTTTTCCAGAACCTCAATGTACGGACTGGTGCCAAGAAACTCTGGTGCATGATCATTTTCATCTTCAACTATGCAGAGAATTGTTGTGGTGCAGGACAACGAAGGGACTCCCTCATCTCGTACCAGGACTGACATGGAACATAAAGATGGCATGGATTGTGGCTGTGAGCACGTTCTGCAAACGTTTCTTTCTAACAGCTGTAGAGTAAGCTAACTGAGTAGCACTTGGCCAATAATACTTTACTCAAAGACACTTCAATTAAATGTTAATTTTCTTCATGGACCTTTTCAGTTTTTTACAAAATACACCGGGACAGGAGGATCCCTTACCTCGAAGGGTAAAGACACCCTGAACTTCTCTGTCAAGTGTGGTGGTTGTCACGACCTCTCCAGTGTCTGCATTGATCTTGAAAAACCCAAAGGAAGCCCCCGATATGATTTCAAACTGAAGCTTGGAATTGATTCCTTAAGGAAAAGATAAAGATAAACTTAGCATTTACCCCTTGGGAATCCACTTGACCATTTTCCAATTTGCTTTCCTTTGAGTGTGTTAGGCTGCAGATGAGGAAGGCAAGATTCTTAGCCAGTCTTCAAATTAAGGTAAAAGAAAATCTCTTTGGCTGTGCTTGCAAATAAAAGTCTCGTGAGCTGAAATACTTGGTTTTCAAAAGCCTTGTGAGACTTCCCCACAGTGAATGCTTAGGATTTTTTCCCTCCCATAAAATTTTTCTTATGAGTGCGCAAATTGTACAACACATTCCTAATTATTCCTTTTAACACCCTTGATTGCGATTTAATGACATAATTGTAAGTCTGTGGTACAAATGACAATTTCTCTAGATTGACCCTCTATTTAAAAGCCTGTGCTCAGTTATAGGACTCTGTTTATTCTCAATCTCAGGAACCCACAGAGTTGCTTATGTGTTTATTTTTCTTTTGTTTTTACTTCATAGTCTGTCTCCTGAGTGAGAAACGTAATACTATATTATTATACATTTTCAAAGTAATTCTTCCCATATTTCTGTGGTTTTAGCTAGTGACTGGTTTCCTTCTTCTCACACCCTTGCCACCCTCTCCAGATCTATGAAAATAAAAATAAAATAAAGATGATTTGGTCTCCTTCCATCACCTTACTAAATATTTTGGAAATCTGAATCTGAAGATATTTAGTGATATCCTCATGGCACATACCCAAGGAAGGGTGTAAGGGGGTGTGTGTGTGTGTGTGTGTGTGTGTGTGCGTGCGTGCGCACATATATACGTGCTCCGGTGCACATCCGCATCTCTGGTCTTAGACCTCAAACCTGCAGTCTCATGACTTCTACATTATGTTTCTGAAGCCACCCTCTCCCCATTTATTTCCTTAGTCCAGCCCTGTGAGCTGTCACTTCAGTAGTTTCTTTCCTTCCACAGGTCTGGTGAGTTTTTGCCAAGGATGCTGAACAAATCCTCAGTCCAGGATCCTTCCAACTCTCTCTGTTCTCCTGCATTACCCAGCAGATGGAGAGACTCATCTGGCAGTGTTTCCTTGGTCACCCCGTCCTGTTCTGGTCTACCTGACCTCCTGGCTTGGTCTCACAGGTCACCACCTTGGTACAGCCCAGGAAGGGGGAGGATTGGAAAAGAGCTCCCTCAGCCTTTTGCATCTGTATTCAACTCAAGCCCTCAGCTTTCTGTCCCAGTAGTAAAAGTAATTCTTCAGATACTCTCGGAATTTTTCTGCAAATTCTGGTCTTTCTCCTATAAAATATTTCCTTCCATCACGATTATACTCTTCTGTAGCTGTCAGAATTAAGCCCCCCCCCCCCGCCCCGCCATAGCCAAATTCCATCTGAACATGCCGGGCATTCTCTGTACCTAGCTTCAGTCCACCGCCTATCCCAGCCACTCTTTCTCCATGACAGTGACCTCCTGGTTATAAAACTTACTGGCATTCATCTTTAGTGCTCACCTAACTTGGCCTCTCTGTGGTATATTGTCGACTCATATTTTAAAATAAATAAAGGAACAAAGGAAAAAGGGAGGGATGCATTAGGGAAAGAGGAGTAAAAGAATTTTCTTTTCCTTGTTTGATTATGATGCATTTTTCTCCTACTTTCTGTCTGTAATGTAGGGATCTAGGTATTAACTGATATCTTGGCTACCTTTTCCCTGGCATCTCACCCTACATTTCACTTTACCTCATTCTCAACTCAAGGAGTTCACCTATGTACAGATGATGCCTTGTATGTGCGTGGAGCTCCAGTCATTTGTTTGGTTGTGTAATTCTTCCTTCCCTTCCTTCTGTTCTCCCTCCCTCCTTTTTTCCTTCCTTCCTGCCTTTCCTCCTCCCCCTTTCTCCCTCCTTTCCATCCTTCTTTCTTCTCTTCTTTCCTTCTTTATTTTTTTTATGTGTTCGTGTATGCAATGCACATTTACTGAATGTCAGGCACTGGAAAGATACTACTGAAGAATTGCCTTAGTTCTCAGAGTTCCACCTAGTGGAGGATATGACTAAACCTATGGGTTGTAGAAAGTATGATGGAATGTATGAAAATGCTGAGGGATTGGGTCAGGGAAGACTTGCTGCAGGTAGGCAGTTTGTTCATTAATTATTTCATATTTCATTCAATACATATATATAGGGAGAGCAATATTAGGCTCTAAGTTACTATGCCAGGTACTAAAAATAAAACTGCTACGAAGAAAGCAAATTCTCTCTCCTCCCGGTGGGCACATTATGGTCCTGAATGTGGATAAGTAAGCAGGCAATTACAATTCCACATGAGACCTGTGGCGGGAAGGTAAGTTGCTTTTATATGACCCAAGACCATAAAGATGAATTAAGCAGGAAAAGGGAAGAGTGTGTGAATAGATTTAAAATAAAATCCAGACACTCTGCCTGAGTCTACAAAGTCCCATGTGGTGTGGCTCTGCTCATTTCTCAAACCTTTCCCCATGGACGCCCTCCCCCGGCAGGATTCCTGGCCCACGCTATCCTGCTGTCCCCTGAATACACTGCTCCTTTCTGTCGGGTCCCTGTAGTCGCTGCTCCCTCCGTCTGCTCCTCCTTAGGCCTTCACAGGGTGCAGGAGGTGCTAAACAAATGTGACTCAGATCCAAAGCCATTTTTCTACACTCTGCGCATGGCGCTGGGACCGGGCATCTGCAACACAGGTCTTTGCAGAATGATGCCCTCTGAGGCTTTGTTACAAAAGGGACACTAGAGGGAGACTGAAAGTCAGAGGGAGAGGAAACCACACTTCCTTCTTTCTAGCTGTGTCCTATCTCCGTCAGCAACGTAGCTCAGTCTCTGTCAGCACCAGGCTCCGTGCGGCCCTTTCTCTCCGCTTTTTCCCAGGTTCCAATAATCCAAATTTTCCTTCTGTTTCCCAGCAGCAGCTGCTTCCTAGATTTATTTTTTCTAGACTATCTTTGTATTCTCCTTTTACTTACTCAGCTATTCAACACCTGTGTTGTAGCATCTGGTTTCCTTGACTGAACATGACTGATAAGACATTTGGCAAAAGGAGTTGGTTTCGGGTAACAGGAAATCTAGGATTGGTTTGACTCTCTTTGGCCTTGAACACAGTACCAAGTTCCTTGCCATGGAAAACACTGTCTACTAGTAATTCAACACTTGAGGTGATATCGTGATTCATTAAATTATGATCTGTGTTTTTCTGTGACGAAGTGAGGGAACTAAATGGCCCTGATTTTGACCACATGATGAGGAAAAGGAGTATGACACAGGATGACACTTGAGTGTGTTAGCACTTTACAGAAGGGGCATTGCGAGCTGACATTTTAAACCTGCAGCTCAAGTCATAGCCAAGAAGCTGGCAAGCTCTGGTGGGAGACCTAAAATTCATCTCCTCAAAGATCGGACCCAAAGTAAGTGGCAGATTTAACTGACAGCTTGAAAGGCAAAGCTTCTACCCATGAATACACATAACCGGAGTCGGATTTCAACAAAGTGTAGGCAGCCAAGTGCAAATCTGACTCATCAAAGACAGCTCACAGATTCAAAAGGATAACAATGCTTTTCTAACTTATACTGGCACAAACCTGGGAAATACGTATGAAAATCAATTTTAAGGATATGAGATGCAGGAAGATAAAATATAACATTGGCTCTGGACGGATTTACTGATAGTGTATTTACTAGGGATTTCACATTGAATGTGCCAGCTCACAGAGCTGTGTCTCCGACAGTTTCTCTGACTGGCTAGATTCCATGGTGACCTGTGATCATGGAAGTTGAGATAATAAATTTTTGCCTGCATACTATGGTCTAAAGAATTCAAGGAAATGGGAATGTTAGGATGGATTTATCATGTGTGCTATGCCCACCACTCATGCTCAGTATTTCCCAGGAATTTAGGAGTCGCCCTCCCTAAAGATGCTGGGTGGATTGGTTAGAGGGACACCAGCGTCCTTGACAAGGCAGCTGTCATCTGTGGGCAGGGGGTGACCGTGGCGCCACTGGTCTTGGGAGCACCTCTTGAGAGCCAATGCTTCATATCAAATCGTGAGGACTACAGAAATCACTTGCTTCCACCCAATGGGAACAGCAGTATATCTATCTTCATTCAAGCTCTTCCATCATTTACTCAGAAGATATCAATCCTCTTGGCACCTAAGAGAGCACTCCGCTGGTTCATGACTTTGATGACATCATAATAACTGGATTTTAGGAGCAGAGAGTAGCAAAGTAACTCAGATATCTCAATTAGACATGTGTTGGATCAAGGATTGGAATACTGCAGCCCCCTGGCCACATCTAGACCACTCCCTGCTGGTGTAAAAACTACTGAAACACAGTCACATTGATTTCTTCATGGATTATCTATAGTCACTGTCCTGTGGCAATACCAGAGTCCACCCAACCTGAAGAACCATAAATATTTACTGTCTGGCCTCTTACAAGAAAAAAAAAAGTACAGATCCCCGTGCTAAAGATCTAAAAGCATCCTGAACCATCTGTCGGAGAGTGACAGGAGATGAAGACAGGAAAACTAAGAGCTACTTCACAAAATCCCTGGCTATTAAGGTAAAAAGGACAGAGCTGTACTTACCTTCCAACCTATGTAGAATTAATAAAGAATGCTTCTGAGGTGGGACAGGGAGTGTTACTTTCAGATTAAATCTTTTTTTTTTTTGAGGCAGGGTCTCACTTTGTAGTTCAGGCTGGCTCTGAACTCATTATGTAGCCCAGGCTGGCCTCAAACTCTCGGTGGGTGATCCTCCTGCCTCAGCCTCCCAAGTGCTAGTATTATAGGTGTGCATCATCATGCCAACTCAGATTAATTCTTTAGGAAGATCATTTTTCACACAATTCATGAACAATGCACAATGACCACACCCTCAGCCATTTCTAAAGCAAAAAGACAACCATGTCTTGTTGATGGTTTGAAGAAAAAAGTAAATGAATTCTACAGAAGAAAGGTAACCCCAGGCAGCTGATGTCTCACCTACTTCAATTTCTCATCATATAGCAAAAAATATTCATTGAGTTCCTATGTTATATCTTGCTCTACCCTAAGGACTTATGATAAAAGTAAATGAGATGTCCTGAATCCAGGAAAATAAGACATCCCAAATCTAGGAGTATTTCATAGTCTACAGGCAGGTAGGTGAGCAATCGTACAATTACAGTGCAATGTATTAAATGCAGTAACAGTATATTCCAAAGTTTTAGTTTTAACAGAGTCTCTACATGAGGTTCTTAGTTCTTACTCTTTTTTGTCCGTTTTTAAAATTATTTCTGTAAATGTATGTTTAACAGGATTCTATATAAAGAAACTTTGTGTGGAGAGGACCAACCTGAAATCAACAAGAGACCCGCAGAAGAGTAGTAAGGGATCAGTAGAAGTACCACAGCCTAGTTAGGCGGTGGCTTCCATTAGCATGTCATTGTGACTCCTGCAGCAATACTTCATGGCCTTGGATTGAAGCATTTGAGCTATGAAGTGCCCAGGGCTCTAGCCCACCTCTGAAGTCCTGTTAGGAATTTGGGCAAATCCACATTGCTAGATTTGGGGCACAAAGGCAGTGAGATGAATTTGGGCCCGAATCCTACGGATCTCCTTTTGCACCCATGGGTTGGATGGGATCTGAATCTGCGGGCAACTGCTGATGGGGACAGAACTGCAGAGCAGGCCAGCGGGGAGCTCCTGATGAAGTGCAGATGAACAGCTGACAGGTGTTTTGACTCAGTAGAAGACACCAGGGAAATGCCACTCCGAGAAGAAAGTGGCTGAATATCCAAATGGAATGACTACAAGAGTGAGAAATTAACACTGCAAAATGTGAGGGGTTAGGACGTTTCAGCGTTCCTGTCTTTTGGTGTATGCATACGCAAGCCTGCTTCTGCAGGGTGCGTACAAGGGTCTCACCACCTCCTAGAAGGGTGGGGCCGTCAGCTGGGTATCACCATTTCCAAGGCGGAGGCAAGGAACCCTTGTCTATTTTCATTAATTCTATTTTCATTAATTTTGCATGTTTTACTTTTCTGAAACTAGATGACTTTTTTAAGTTAATGATAGCTCAGATTCAATGAGATACTGCTTCTCCTTGGCCCGAGCGTTGGTCTGGAGAGTAATATCTCACTAACTAGTTCCGTATTTCTATATGGCAATGTACTATTAAACTATTTATATTCACTACTCTTGAGCAAATGTATCAACCAGTATGCGTCATCTGCCCAGGAGCTGGGGAGGGGTGCCTGGGGATCGATTTTTGCTTACTAACAATGGCTCTCTTGTTGGTGGCACCAAATGCTGTAGCAGTTTTAATGCCGCAGTTAAAATCTGGTAGTTGTTATTTTCCTTTTAGTATAAGAAAAAACTCTGTTAGAATAGTGTGAGTCATACACCATAAATATTCAGTGCTCAAATCCCTGTGGGTTTTGAATGCCAAACAATATTGTATGCTTACATTTTTAAAAACTGTATTGTAGAATAGTAGAAAACATATGTTAAGTTCTCTGGTATTAAGTAATGCTATAGTGTTTCTAAAATACATACTATAAAGTAAGCCATTCATAAATCCCAATGCAATACTAGTTACACTAAATCTTGACTACATCATTCAATTCTCACGCATAATCCTATTTCATTATTTTAAGCCACCAAGCCAAAAAAGACCCCACAAAAGAAAAATTGAGAGATCACATGCATGCACACAAATATTCATATGCATTTACATAACCACCTGCTTAACAGATCTGGCCTCATGAAAAACACCAAGACTTCCAGTAAATCAAAACTGTCTCCAAAACACGCAAGGCTACAGGAGACTAACGAAGATGTTAAACATCCATTGCTGCAAACTGGGAAAAACAAGGATTGTGTATCTAAGGCTGCAGTCAGCAACCACAATCTCTAGAACAGTGAGCTTTCAAGTCAACTAAAATTGAACAGGTTGCATACAATGCATCCTCAAAGAAAACACCACTAGTGCTAGGCAACTTGAGTGAAAATCAGAATGTGTTTATGGTAATCGTCTTTAGCATATTCAAAAATTCCCTTATCTGCAAGCATAAAGAGAAATTCATTACTGAAGAATAAAATTTGTAAAATCAATAAGGCCACGGGGCAGAAGCATTCTTTGATGAGTAAATCACACAGAGCCAGCAATAGGCTCAGTAAAAGTCTTACACTTTGGGAAGGGACTCTGCTACCCAGAGCCCCATGCTGCTCTGCTCACCACAGAGAACACTCTAAATGAACTTTATTGAACCGGAATTATTATCAAACACAAAGCTTATGTATTTTGCCCATTGTTTCCCACACCCTAGAATGAGTATTGTCAGAAATATCTAAATAAACTCTCAGCACAGATCCCTACACTGCTGGCATGCTCCACGCCTGTCAGCGCAGCAAGAAAAACCCCTTGTTCGCACTGCCCCACTCTGGTCAAAAGAGAGAATTGAGGTTAGCTTTTTTTTTTGGTACCAGGGATCGAATTTGGGACCTTGCGCCTGCAAGCCAGGCGCTGGAACCACTAAGCTAAATCCCCAGCCCAGCTCTTTTTTTTTTGAGACAGTTTCCTGT